CTTAAAGATAAAATCTGACATATGTCCTTACTTTTAAAACTCTTAAGCATAAAGTAATTTTATTTTTTTTAAAGCCTCTAAACTTTACCCATTTGGTATTTTTGTTTAGACAAGCCCATGTATTTTTGTATACTTGAATAAACTCTGGAGACTTTTTAAATATTAATTCCCCAACTGTTAATTATAACTAATTAAGTAAATCTTTAACATAAATTAAGTTTTCACTTGAAATACGACTTAAGTATAAACTAAACTACACTTGCTTATTTGTTAGTAAAAAAGAGTATTGGAATTTTAGGTAATAAAGTTGTAATATTTTAAAAAAGTTTTAATAATTTTTTTATTTAAAAAAAAAAGAAAAAAGAAAAAGTGATCTATTTAAATTCCTATTCTTTTTATAAAGTAATAGTGTCCACTTGAATGGTAAGCTCATTTTAATTTACTCTTTTGAGTCAACCGTAAAAACTGCACCCGCAACTATAAAACCTACACTTGGGACAAAGATCCTCCTCCCCCAACTGTCCCATTTCAACTACCGGACATGCTTCAGCTTCCTCCGCTATAAGAATAAAAAAACACCTTCGAAAACACCCTTTCTCCTTCTCCTTTAATGGCTTCTTCACAAGACTCCCGCCCTTTCCACTGGCACCTCGCCGAGCTCGAAGACCATCACTTCCAAATCCATGGCCGAACCCTCTTCTTCATCGTCGTCGTCATCCTCATCACCCTCATCTTCGCCCTCATCTTCGTTTACGCCCGATGGGTCTGCAGTTTCAACCGTCACGCGCCTTCCCCGACTTCCCACGCGCTTCCTGACTCGGCGCCGCGAGGACTCGATGCCGCTGCCATTAATGCTTTGCCGGTGACTATGCTCTCGCTCGAGGAGGCGAGTCAGAGTGAGTGCTGCATCTGCCTCGGTGTGTTCGAAGACGACGAGAAAGTTAAGGTTTTACCGTCGTGCAAGCATTCGTATCATCCCGAGTGTGTTGATCGGTGGTTAAGTACTGAGTCGAGTTGCCCGCTTTGTAGAGCTTCTCTCCGAGTTGAACTTGAACCAGAGCAGCTTCAAGTTATTGTAACTCAGTGACGACAATGACAACGACGAAGACAAAAAGATTAAATGAATATTTTTTTGTCTGAATTATATTTGTAAATGACGTTCATCCTTGTTGTAAAGCATCTATTCACACTAACTTTTGTGTGTGTTTTAGATTGCCAAGTGCTCGATGAATTTGCTCAACCAATTATTTGTTTTTCTTTTTGTAAAGAAAACGAATATGATTATTTGTTGAGTAAAGAAATCAAATTCATCCTTCTTCGCCTTTAATCCTTCTTTAGATTTTGAAAGCAAATTTCTTTTGTTGATGTTGTTTTGATAAGGTGCCAAAAGTTCATGTTCTGGGTTATTCCTTGTCTAAATCAATACAACATATATTATGGCAGGAGCATACCTGAATAATATAAATTGTATTAAAATTTTAAGATGCTTACAAATTAAAATATAATAAAATAATTAAATTATATGAAAATTTAAAATTTATGGAAGATATAATTGTCCTAGCACCTCTTCGTCTATTCCTTGTTGGATGCTTGTACCTTTATAAGTCACATTATATCCTAGTATAATGTTTCTCAACAAAAAAAAAAAACTATCTTTTAAGTTATTGGATATTTAAGTTAATAAAAATCTGTTATAAGATGTAGGGGCAAGAACGAGCGTAAATTTTTAAAAAGATATATTATAAATTTATTTTAAAAAATTAAATCAGTAACAGAAAATACTAAATATATGATAACTCCCAGCTCCTTCTTCTAGTTGAATACTTTTATAAACTTTTAACTTTCTTTAAGTTATAACCTTATACCTTAGTATATAATATTTCTCACCAAAAGTTGATATCGTTTTTGATAGGCTAAGATATATGGGAAGTTGACTGATCAGCTACAATGGATAAGTAGTCACCAATTGACCGCAAATGTTCCCTATCATATCCAATTTCTTAAAGATTTATACCTAATGCATTAAATAAATTAAATTCTAACCTCTATTTTTTTTAAAACTAACCTCTAATTTTTATATTTTGACTTAACAATTAGACATTAATATTTTTTATGATTATTTATACTTATCCTTCTAATCTATCATCTTGTTTTCGTTCCTGTATATCGTCGTATACATTACTGAATAAATTATTAATATATCAAACATAGACCTAAGAAACAAACATAAAAAAAATAGTTGATGGATTGTCGGTTGAGTGTTGACATTGAACACTAATACAAGACATAAGGAAGAAGCAATATCATTGTTGGGTAGTTCAAACATCTAGTGAACCGATGTATGTCTTATCACATTATAATTCATGTACTGGTGTTCAACAAAGGGAGGAAAGACCACCTTTTCTTTTCTCTTCTTTTCTTCATCAAAGAGAGGAAAGACCACCTTTAAGTGGGAGCATTGTGGAGTTTTGATTTGGCAATCTTCAAAAAGTTGAACTTTCTTTAACTTTGTTTTAGTAAAGTTGTACCAAAATCTTGCCTTTTATCACATAATAAAACAATAAATATATTATCAATAATTAGTTGGTTTAAAGAGATAAAGATGTTGTTCCTCTGGGTAAGATTAGAAGTTCGAATATTTATATCAGATGTTGAAAAAATTAATCTCATAATACATTTTTACTGTACTCGATCCTGATTTATTAATTATTTTATGTGATTAATTTATAATATCAAATACAATTAAAATTCAAATAATTAATATAGGTAAAATAGAAAATGGTATGAAAATGACATCATTCTTAAAGAAAGAGAAGCACTTTACTACATATAAAAATAATAATTTAACACTTAACCATTAAGACCTTCAAAAAAGAAAAACACTTAGTTATTAAGCAACACTTTTTTTTTTAATTCACGTGGGAGGTCTTATGAATTCAAGAAAAGGAGACAATTTGTCACCTATTCATAGGCAAGCAACTCGTGGTGATTGTTTTGATTTTGAATTAAATTTACTATTCTAACTCTTTTTGGAAAGAATATTCGGTAAAAATTTTAATTGTGTTGATAAAATTGAATATGAAAATTATTTTAATAATTGATTTCTAAAATATTTGATCTAGATTCCTTAAATAAAGTCATACGTTCAAATCGTAACGTTTACGAATAAAACAAATTAGTTTAAGAGAATTGTTCTTGTCTCTATAGTTCTTGACTCGGATTAATTGATCAATAGGTTATTTTAAAATTACATTTAGTCTTTTAATATTCTACCCAATTCCTTTCATGTTTACTTTTTTTTATGTCAACATAATTTAAAAAAAGCAGTTTTATATATAAATGAAATGTCATTTTCTCTAAATAACTTGATTTCAAGCTCTTTTTTATAAGTACACGTTATTTTATTTATATTTATAAATGATATAAATATTATCTTCTAATTATATTTGAATCTTAAAAAAATATCTACAAACACATATTCATATATTATATTTAAAAAATATAAACTAATAAAGAAATGGGCCTAAGTTTGCTTGATCTAATATATAATATAAATAAGTGGCCCAATTGTTAAGGAATTGCCAAGTGCCTACTGCATAGATGCCTTCAGGCTTTAGGGTTTTACACCGATCTATATATATATATAAAAGCTTCGAATAGGGTTTTGTTGTTGTTGTATATATATATATATAAAAGCTCAAAGCCGATTCTTTTCCATCAACAGCAGTCTCTTTTGAAGAACAACCCAGAGATTTGAACTGCGAAAGGAAGCCGATTCAAGGCTTTTTGACAATGAGAGCTAAGGTAAAAGAAAATCGCCATTGATTTAGTCTTTTTGACCTCTTCATTGTTTTTTATATTGATAAATGGTTTATTTGTTTTGGGTCATTGGCAGTGGAAGAAGAAGCGTATGAGAAGGTTGAAGAGGAAGAGAAGAAAGATGAGGCAGAGATCTAAATAGTCCTTTTGATTTCTTTCTTCACAGCTAGTTGTTTGATGGATTAATGTCGTCGCTTTTCGATTTCATGGATTAGATTTTGTGTTTTTGTTGAACCATTTTCATTTTTTCGATAAATGTTAAGAGTTTTTGCTTGAAGATCTGGGTTTTGATGGCATTTTTGCCTTGAGATTTGCAATTGCATTGGTAAACTGTGGTTGTTTCTCTTGTTTTCTTTGCAAATGTGCTTGAATTTTGTCACAGAAAATTAAGGTGATGAATTTGATTATTTCTGACTAGTTTAGCATGTTTCAAGTAAAATGGGTAATTTACATTTGCGACTACGAACATTTAGTCAATTTTGTAGTATGGTCCCTGAACTTCTTATTTGTCAAGATTAGTTCTTGGATATGACAACTTTTATATTTTAGTGGTATGAACGTATTGACATGCCATTAAAATGATCAAAAAATTTGAAATCGAGTTTAGTCATTTTTGTTTGAGGAAGTACTGATATGAAAAAATGATTTAACTTTCTTTTTACTTTTATTTTAATCATTAAAATTTTATTTTATTTTATATAATCATTATTTTTTATTTATTTAAATATTTTGGTCACAAGGGTATGTGACATTCATGATGTAACTATCATTTAAGTATAAGATAGTCATGTCATTTTTTTGAATCTTTTAGATTTTTATCTTCTTTCTTCAAAGATTATAGTTTTATAATTCCATATGTTGATATTGTTACTATTTTTTTTATTTTCTTATCACCTAAGATATTAATGAATTATTCTAATTATCTCTTATTATTTTATCATGTAAATTTTATCAAATTTTTTTTGCAAAATTTGTAAAATTCTACCATTTGATATCTGCCATTTGACTGGAACTAGATTTTTTTCATAAAAATAGTAAAACAGTTTTGGATTATTTAATAATTTTTTAAAATAAATATCTAGTGATAGTATCTTCAAGTATTTAACTAGAATAGATTAAAATGAAAATAAATAAATAAATATCAACAAATAAAATAAATTTTTAATGACAAATAAAAGTGAAAACAAAGTTAGTGATGTAATTTTGAATTTACTGATATATATATATATAGTTCATTGAGGAAAGTTGGAAGGCAAGAACATCCTTTGTCTTTTGCTTCTTATCCGACAATTGGATTTGGATGCATCCGATGATAAAGCATTAATCCTGTTTACAAGGACGTTCAACGACTGTTTCAGTGTGCTCATCGAAACCGAAACGCCCTCTTTATCGATGTTATTATCACAAACCATCAATTCGCTTTTGATCCTTCCACCAACACTTGTAATCTCCGCGTCTACGATGCTTAACCTCAGCCCTTTCAGCACTCGGACCAGCTCCGCAAACACTTCCGGCCGATCATCACAACACACCGAAGTCCTGATCAACATCTTGCCTTCCGAAACCTCACATTCGATCGTCACTTCATCGGTTTCGGTCGGTATAGTGAAGGCTTTGCTGATCTCTGTTGCTTTTATCTTTAGATCCTTGACTTGCTCTACTGCACTTCCTAGTAATGCTGCTTTATCCATCTGAAAAAAATGTCAAATTTCAGTTTCGGTCACTCTACAATGCTCAAATTTGAGATCCAGACCTTATATTTTATTTCCTCATAATTTAGCTTCCCTACTTTTATGATTTCATTAGTTAGTCTAACAGTGAACAAATTAAGTACTGATGACTTGAAAGAGTATTTTTTAAAAGAAAGTCTACATCAACATTTAAAATGAAAATAGTTGACGATTTAACTACTTAGACTAACCAATGATATTATGAAAGTAAAAAATTAAAATATAGAGTATATCACAAAATTGAGCATAGTATAGGGACCAAAACCACTTTGACCAACAGAAAAGAATTGAACTAAATATTAGTTTCCTACATGATGAAATAGTTAACTATTTGAACTAATTGGTGATATTATAAAAATAGATAAACTAAATTAATCGACAATTTGACCGACAATCTGTCAAACCATAGTAACTGAATTCTAAAATGGAACATGGCAGAGGTACCGAAACCACAATTTGACCGACAGAAAATAATTAATCGACGTACTAGTTTCCAACGTTATGAATATTTAAAGGTTTGAACTAATTGAATTAGAGATGTTATAAAAGTAGATAGACCAAATTATGTCAAATCACATTGACTGAATTATAAAATTGAACATGGTAGAGGTACCAAAACTAGAACTTGATTAACACAGAATTGATCTAAAAACCAGTTTCCAACATTGTAAAAAGGCAAAATTTTCTGCAAACCATACCTTGTTAGACTTGGGAATCAGTTTCCTCAAAGCTGCAAGCTGCGCGTTAATCCGATCCCTCCGCCTCTTCTCGGCTTCGCTATGGCTCTTGGAAACAGTCGTGGCTTTATCTGGCGTCGGGGTTGACGGAGGGAAACCGTGGCACTGAGCCAAGAAATGAGGCTCGATTGGCCATGGCTCTATGAAAGAAGAATATTCATTGCTTGTTGCACCATTGAAACCAGGCCAAGGCAAGCTTTGGTGACAGTTCTCCATTTTTGCTCATGAAACAACAAAGTCTAAAGTGAGCCCTGATTTTTATTGGGCAATATCTATGATTGAGGCACTGTTGATTGAGCTAATAGTGGCTGTGATGTTCATATTTTTAGATGCTGATTGGTGTGATATCTTCTTCAACTTTTTATTGGTCAAATGAAAAATCATGTGTTGGCCATCATTCGGTTGATTTTTATTTTTAGGGTAAAATACACCAGATGTTACTCAACTATATAAATATGACCTTTTTTTCAGTGACCTTTCGAATATTATATAATGATTCTTAAATTTCCTAAATGGTTACACAAGGGTCCCTGCACGTTAAAATAGCAATAAATTTTGATAAATTTAAAGACCATTTTGTAATAATTCAACAAGTTAAAAGATTATTTGTAAGAAATTTTAATGATCATTTTATGATATTTGAAAGATCATTTCCTAGAAATATTATTTTTATATAGCTCAGTGACCTCTAATGTACTTTACCCTTTTTGTTTTAACTTTTTATAGGTTCACTGAAGTACGAATGAATGACACAGACGATACTAATACCAAACATTGAGACGGATCAAATTGCTTAATTTTAAAAGTAAGAAGGTCTAGAAAATAGTTAAATCCCAAAATTGAGTAGATGTCAACATCTAATTTGATTAGTATTTGCATTGATAAGGATTTAAAAAGTCATTTGACAAAATATTTAGGCCCCCTTGGCAAAAGCATTAACTGCAATGGTAATAGAAAATGGACAACAAAGAGAATTGTGCGGATATAAATGGGGACGAAATTTATTGTTGAGAGTTCCAATTCAATGTTATAGTGGTCTAATTATCAATATCATCTGTTTACTTTAATAAACTAAGAAATTAGTCTTTTTACTTTAATCCTTCATACTTTTTTTGTCTAATAGTAAGTGATTATAATGTAGTATATGTTCATAACTTTCTTAACTTATTGACACGTACACATATCATGCAGACGGAGCTGTTTGAACCCAAAATTGATATAATGAGAGATAAAGATCACAATTAGGCAGTATACAATATTTCAATTTTACCATAAATATCACAAGGACAAACCTGAACCTCTGTTGTATTATTACATCTATAATATCGTTAACCCTAAACCTAAACCATCTTTTAACTTATAGTTTAGATTTTAAATTATTCTTTAAATCTTAAAACGCTCTAATTAGATATTTAAAATGTCATTTCGCATCAATAAAATCATCCTACCAACACTATTAGTTTGGAAGCTAAATACCAACTCAAATTTGACATGTAACATGTTTAAAATATATCAATCAAAAGTTAAACATTTGTGTAGCTATAGCACGGGCAACTTGAACCAAACACCATGAAAGAAAAAGACCACATAAATTTTAATGTCATTTTGTACCTTTTTTTATCAAGTCATATTCAAATCATCCATGTAATAGGTATATACATATTTTAAATTTTGATTTGCATGTTTTGAATATGCTCAACGTTATGTTTGGACAAACATTTAGTTAAATTGACATATAGACCTAAATGAAAGGATAGTGATAATTTGAGAACCCAACTAAAATATTGTAGAATCTAAGAATCAATTCAAAACTTGAGTTATAGTTGGAGAACCTGCAATGAAATTAACCCATTATAATTGTGAGAAGTTGTGTGTGTTTGGAACATGTCCATCATGTACGGGATGCTTATCTATGAACTATTTTATCTTTTTCTTCATAAGAAAGAATAATTATGGCATCGAGCCCTACAATGAAGTGAAATGACCCACTTGGATAATATCTATTTGTAACTCTTAAACTTTATATTATTTGAAATATTATGTAAATTTATATTTGTAATTTTTTTTAAAATATAATTAAAATGTTTAGGATAAGATCAAACCGAAAATCATATATGAAGAGAGTTTATGTCCAAGAAGGCAAGGTTTTGGTGGCTTATTTTGTCCTCTCTCATTGGATTCTCTCTATGTTAGTGTGATGGAGGGGAGCCCTCAGAAAAGCACAAGCCAAAAAGGTAGGGTCCTCAAATTGCAAGTCATTAGATTAGAATTGACGTGAAATGTCATACAATGGGATTGTGTGGTGCCAATGATCCCCTTTCCCCTTAACTGTTCCACCTTGACCCTATTTGTGTTTGAACGTCGGCAATGGAAATGTGTGAAATGTAGGTTCATGTTCCTCATGGACTTGGCCGCCAATCCCTTCCATCCACCTATTTAATGCATCCAAACTGTCTAAAATACTCCAAAACACTAGTGCCATCACATCAAGAAGAGATGAACTAGATCCATGTTGGAACCTTTAAAATTCTATATAATTCTAACATATTGATTATTTAAAAATTCTAATGTAAATTCGATTGTAATTTCTCGTACAAATGTAATATATATATCAATGTGATAGGCTGTCCAAATTCTAATCACATTGACTTTGGTTTATATCTCTCATGAAATCCCGCCTTCACATAAGGATTCGGCTTGGCCTATTGGACAAAGGGAGAAACATGTCATTTGGACGAGTACCATCACATCAAGAGTACATTATATAAATATTTAATCTAAATTTTTAAGATTTTATAGTATTAATATAAAATTCTATATTTGTTTCTAATTGAACATGAAATGAGTCCAAACAATATTTTATTCATTCGAAGTGAAAATCTTTACGACATGAAATCAAAACCACATAAGATCTTCAATGATGTTTTTAACCATGTATTTGACAACACATCATCAGGTTGCTCGTATACCTTATAATTCAGATGTACTTTGTTAGTTGATTTGATTCGAATTTAGAGAGGCATTAACAACTCGAAACTCGAGCAGTTCCAACCTAATATAAAATTCTCATTTTTATTCGATAAAATAAAATTTTAATTAAAAAATATAGAGAATTATTGTTGCGAGAATCCCTAGATATAAAGAATAGTTATACTATTATTCCGGATCGGATCTAGTCAAAAAAAATTTACCCTACACTCATATTTTCGGATGCTCTTTAATTTATCATATAAATAAATTATTGAAACTTTATTGTTATATTTTCCCATGACATATTAGACTGTTGTTATCAAAATCGACCTGATCGAACCGGCATAACTTTGGTTGACTCAGGGGCTGTTTGTTTGGTTCTAAATGAATCATTCAGCGCTGAATACTGAACCGTTCAGCATTCATCGAGTTTGTTTCTAATCTCTGAATGAAGACTGTGCTGAATGATTTAACAAAACAGTGTTAAATGATTCAACATCAAAGTACATTCTGAATGATTTAGATCCATTATCAAACACCATGTCACATTCAGAGCTAATTCATATAGAGTCTCTAAATCATTCAGACCATTGAATCATTCAGCACTTAATCATTCTGAAGTAAACAAATAGCCCCTCAGTTAACCGCATTAAATGTATACATATCGGAAGATGAGCTTCGTTACTGTATTGTATGATTTGAGGCCTTCGCCATTTTGGCGCTCTCTTGTACATTGAAGGCACCCAATTGACCTCCTTCAAAAACACAAAAGAAAACTCCGTTAGTGTAGGCAGCATCAACAGCACGATTAAACCGATCAAAACCATCAAATCAAAAGTTCCCATGAACAATCACCGGCAGAACATAACTTTATACAAAATTTTCCATATTCATTCCACAAAAGAAAGATGGTACATTTTGGAGAGGTTACATTCATGGCAAACGTCGCCTCCTCATCATATAAATTAAAGCTTGTTAATAATGAACGTTAAACAAATTTATAAAAGAAGAGGCTGATAGTGCTTACCTTGAAGCTAATGCCAAAGGCAACAAATTAGTGTTTGGCTTCAACTATAAATGTGGCGTAGGCCTTGTTATCGACGGGGCTCAGAGACCAAACTTTGACAGCAAAAGTTTCTTTACTTTTATTCAAGTTTTAGTGGAATGTTAATAAATTCTCCACTTATAATTAAGAGTGAGGATTCTTTTTAGTGATATGAAGCCTATCGAGTTATCATCTTTGGAGAAGGTGGAACTGGATGGGGCACCAAACTTCATAATAGAAGAAGGATTGATGCATGATGGGCATCAAATTTCATGGAGATGATTGATACAACTTGGAGTAAATGCGACCAAGGGCAAACTAAGAGGCGTATATCTCAAACACATTTCTAGTATTTTTTTTTAGTTTGATTTATCACCTTTACTTGGTGTAAGTTGGGGTAGACCTAATCCTTCAATGAATGGAGTTGTCAAGGCTTAATGAGGACGTGTGAGATTTTTCAGAGTTTTTAATCGTAAATTGGGATTACTAACGGTTATGAGAGTTTAATTAGTATTTAATATTGTAGCATTTAAGCCTTCACTTAAGATTAAGGGATCTGAATCGAGACAAGTCAAAACTAGTTGGAGGAGGCTTCTATGACCAAAATGTATACAATTACATAAAAATGATGTTACACAGTGACATAGGTCAAGGCAAGCAGTCCGTACGGGAGACAAATCAACCCGAAGCCGAGTTAGGAGCAAACCAAAGGTACTAAGGAGTATCCAAGATCATTTAGTACACGTTCGTTCTACAAGTGTGATGAGGACGTCACTAGATTTAGTGAGAGAGAATGTTATGAACAACGAGTTAAAGTACGAGTGCTCAACTAGTTGTCCAAGAGTTTTTTAAACGATGTTTTAGGTTTATCTAAATTGCCAAACTTGACGTGATACTTAAAAAAATATTTGAAGATACGATCATATTGATCTTGGTAAAAAGATTGGTAACATCTTATTAAAGGATATTTTCGAGAATTCTTTCAAAGTAATATGATCACATGTAAAATGATGTAATAAGAAATTTGATATAGTTTCCTTAAATAAATGATTGACATAATGTTTGAAAATATCCTACTACAATATTTTTTAAAAATATATTCCGATATTAACACGTGGTAACCTCCTATTGATTCGTATTAATTTCAAAGTAAGATTCGAGAATTTGATGTGGAAGAGATCAAACCCAAACCTTTATGAAAGATAACTCACACTCTAACCATTCGGCCAAGCTGTTTTTGGTGGTCAATTTTTTAATAGGTTTATTATATAACCAAAAAAAATGTCATGTAATTAAATAATTGTCC